ATGCTCCAAGAAATCCTCTTCAAAGCCAACTTCATGGCCCCCAGGGGCCCGCGGACCCCGCGCCAGGTTTTAGGCCCAGGGGTACCAAAAATCGCACTCCAAGCGTCCCTCAGCTCAGCCCACGGGATAACAAAGGGAAAGAGCTTGGTTTGGTTGGCCCAGATCTCCTTGGAGTACCTGACAATGGGCGCCACCGCAGGGTACCAGGTCGGGTCCTGGGATAAAATCAGCACTGAGGTCCGCGACCTCATCTTGGCAGACGGCTGCATAATCCTATCGGCGGCGACCTGCAATCTGTGCCATTCAAAATCCGAAAGCCCATGGACCTCAGACCCAAACGTGAGACTGGGGAGGGGGCCAGCGGTGAAAACTTTGGCAGCATGCCGCCCGAGGGGCCGCTTGGCTCGATTGAGCCTCCTGACTTTTTTGTTGAACACTCTTTTGCGGTCAGAAAACTTTGTCCCCCATACCAGGAAGCCGTCGGGAGGAACCTGGGGCAAAGTCAATGCCCAGGTTGACGGTCCCTTGGGCGATGGGCCCAGCAAGGCCGCAAAGACAGCCCCTGACTTCCGCGGCGAGGGCGTCCGACGAGGCGACGAGAGAAGCTTTGTCAGGCGAAATGATCGCCCCCATATCGACCTCGATGGCTTCCCTGGGGTTGGCGGCGGCCTTAGGGAGGTGCCTGGCATTGCAGGCCCTGGACCCGTTTCAGCTGAGACCGTAATCGTCAATGGAAACGTCGAGCGTGACTCCTGGAAGCAACTGCAACGCATCCAGGGCGGGGATGGCATTGATGCGCACCGTGGTGGTCGCGAGACCACAGCCCGCGACAACGCCGTTGGTGACAAAGAACGGGCCGACGACCACGCCGCCGAGAGAAATAAACCTGCCATGCCGATATCCTCGCACGGCGAGCCGAGCTAACTGGACGGGGAACTCATACTGCTGGCATCGCTGAAGGAGCGCGCCCAAGTGAACCAACTCGAAACATTTGTAAAGATCCCACAGAACCGTGCAACTCGCCTGGCAACTGGCCACGGCTCCTTCAGCACGCAGAGTCTGCCTCCAGACAACATCAATCGCGGAAGAAAACTGGGACCCAGCAAAGTAGCTCCGCTGAAATTTGCTGTCCCAATGGGCCGCGTAGGGCCTGCGGCACCGCCCCCAGAGGCGGTGGGTGCTATCGAAAAGGCCGATGGGCCGATACCATCCAGAAGGTTTGTTGAGGAAGGAAAGCACAACAAGGGAGGTTTGCCCAAGAACCCGCCCAGAGGCTTCCATGGTGGAATACAGGGTGCCAAGGACGTCCAGGGACCCCTCCGACAGGGGGGCATAATGCTTCATGTGGAACCCGTCAACGGCGGTAGCAGAACGGGCGGCATACCGCCTAGCAGGGCTTCAACAGTGAGGCGGGGGAGGGGCTCGACGAATTGGAACGCGGCCTCCTTCGGGGGCGGGGGGGGGGTCGTGAGCGGCGCTCCAGAGCTTACTGAATTGTCGGGCCTCCGAATCCAGCAACGACAGGGGGTCCGAGGCAACCGCTCCATCCCTGCTGAGGGTCGTGGTAGGGGTCCATGGCTGGCTGCCTCTGACTTGCTGGCGCGCTCTCCTGGCGCCCTGGTCGCTGGGCTGAAGAAGCCACTCTTTCCACTCAGCAAGGGCCTGCGCCTTGGCCTTTACGGCAAAGGTCGCATGGTGCTCCTCTAAGTCGGTAAGAATGGATTCCCCAATAGCCAGGTCGAGGAGGTCATGCAAGCCTACAAAGGACTGCACACGCATGACGAGATCGCTGTGGACTTCCAGCCCTTGCTTCAAAAAGCTGGGAGGGTTGAGCGGTAACCTCCGCACTTCCTGAGACTGGGCGGATCCCATAGCAACCGCGTCAAGCTGGAGAAGGAGCCTGAACTTGCTCACGAGCCATTTAATCGAAAATAAATGGGGCTGTCGGTGGGAGGCTTCCCGATCTTGATCGAGGATGTTAACCCAATGCTGATGTGGCATCTTCCCCCTGCTGCCCCAACAGGGCAGGGTGGTTTGTCTACCCCTCGCTGGCTCCTTCTCCGAAAGGTCGGCCCAGTGCTTATAGATGGTGTCGAGCAGGCACTGCACAGCGTGCACGTCACCACTGCGGCAAGCGTCTAAGGCACGTCCAGCTTCTCACTGAATAGCAGCCCAATCTGGAGGTGGGGGCACAGGACCGATGGCGGGCTCAATCGGCAACGGCGGGGGCTTCCGAAACACGAGCCCATGGAGCCTCCCAATACCTGCATGAAACTGCATCTGCACAGGAAGGTGAGTAACGAGGTTGGACGTGTGAATAGCACTAACGGAGGAGATCCCTTTGGCGAGCCCAGCAGTAACGATAAAATAATCAAGCATGCCAGCGCCACATGTGCCCACGACGTCTTCGGGAACGACCATCTGCGCCCCCAACCTGTTGACAATCCCAGACGCCACTACCTTCTCGGGGCTCATGTTAAAATCAGCTCCAATAATGGTGGGCAGCCCAACCTCCTCAACGACCGTACCGACGCACGCTAGGAGCTCCACGTTGGCCTCCGAGAGCCCCTCAACCGTACGCAAGTAGGTACTGCAGACAAGGATGGGGTCGCCACCAGGAATGTGCACGACAGCTCCGATCGGACGATGTTGGTCGATGGGGTGGCCTCCAGGCGGAGCATGACATCCCAAGGAATTCTGGACCAGGATCCCAACCCCAGACGAAGTACCATGTCCCACTCCTGGAGCAGCAGGCCCAAGGATAGCTTTCCACCCGTGCCGATGGGCCCAGCCAGTAGCCTCCTCCAGCTCAGACTCCAACAAGTGGTGCTCTTGGATTAAGAGAACATGTGCACCACACTTGGGGAGCCAAGCTCTGAGGCCGCCTCCCGAGTCGGATTGCCAAGACGTGACATTGGCAGCCTGGATGACGAGCTCAACACTTGAATCTCCAGGGCTGGGCTCGGGGGCGTGGAAAGGAAAAAACTTGGTGGCCTGAGAGCGATCGGCCCCGAAGCCTGGCGCGGCCTTGGTAACAGCTTCGTGGCCCTTGGAGCCGAAAAAACCATGAGGACCTTGCCGATGCCCAGGGTGGTGGCCGCCAGCGGCCTGTCGGGGACAGGTTCTGTCCGGCTTGGCAAGAGTGGCCTCTACAGCTTGCGCCAAATAGAAACACTGGAGGGCGTCTGCCCATCGAGCATCGAAGGAGCTGCACACTCCGTCGACACTATCTTGAAACGACCCAGAAAGGGAAGGCGCTCTGAGACCATGGATTGCGTAACGATCCGAATCAAAAGTTGGGGACGGGCAATGAAAATACCCTTGGGTGCTCACCGTGAGAGCGCTGAAACTGGCAGACGCATGCATGCATGGATGCGTGGCCAGGCTAGGCGGCGGTTCCTCCCCCCACCCCGCCAGGGGCGGGGGGAGGAGATTGAAGGGCCTTCTCTGCCTTAGCCCGCACATCGTCTGTTGCTGGGGTTCCACCACCAGCTGGGGAAGCCTCAGCGGCCGCCGTGGCAGGGCCAGCGGCAGGTGCCTCACGCGGCTCATCCTCAGCTCCAGCATCTCCCCCTGCCGCCGCTCCCTGGTCAGCGCGCCGCCGCTTGCTGGCAACCCGAGCCAGGTGCTCACGATGCGCATCTCGGGCCGCTTTGGCAGCGGCCACCAGGGGACCCAGCAGGTCCTTGGCGAGCTTGGAGACGCCAGCGTTGAGGTCGTCCTTCCTCTTGGCGATCTCTTCGCGGTCCTTATCCTCAAGCTCGGCGTCGCCCTCGAAGAAACTGACCTCGTCCACTGTGAGGAATGCGCCCAGGTCGAATGTGTCAGCGCACAGGTCTTCCAACTTGAGCTTGGCAGGGGCTGGCGCAACGGGGACGGGAGCAGCAGACGCCTGCTGCTGCAACTCGGCCACCAGAGCCTTGTACTGCTGATCGGCTGTGGCCAACTCTTCACGCATGCTCCGCACCGTGTCCTCGAGCTTGGCGATGTCGTTCCTCCAGCCCAAAAGCTTGTCCACCTCCTTGTCCAGCGCCTTCTCCAGTCGACCCACAGCGGCGAACTGCTGCTGCACTCGCTGGTGGAGGGGAGTGGGGGGATTGGGCGACTCCATTGCGTGCAGCTTCTTGAACTCTGCCTCATACTTGGACGCAGTGGTAAGGCCCCCTCCTTTCCGCGAGAGATCTGCCAGCTGCTTTGCCTCATTCGCATTGAGCTGGCTCTGGGGCCCGACGGGGAGAGGAGGTGCCTTGGTGGTGGCGCCTCCAGGATGCCCACCTCCATACCCAGCTCCAGCGGGTTGTCCAGGACCTCCAGGGGGCCCAGGGTAGGGACGAGAGTGCATGGCCCAAGGTGCCGCGGAGAATACGCCAGAAGGGGCCTGCGACCACGCCCCGCTCGGTGGGGCTCCACCTTCGACTGGACGCACAACAGCAAGAAGAGTCCCACAATGCTTGCAGTAGCGGGCCGCCTTGGGGGTCTTCGCACAGCCACAGGAACTGCACTTTAACTTGGAATATCCTTCTGAACTGTTGTCCGAGTACATGTAGGCGCCGTAGTGCCACGGGGGGGCGGCGTGCCGCTGGACCAGTCACCACGACCACGTCCTTTGCCACGCCCGACACCTTTAGCACTACCATTGCGCAAAGCAGGCGGGGGTGTCATACACCCCAAGTCAATCACTGAGAAATCCCGAGCCAGAAGGCCCGTTGACGCAGTGTGCCGCTCTGAAGTTGGCGTCAACAAGCACAAAAGTTGTGCCAGAACGGCTAGGAGGAAGCGGGGAGAGGGAGAAAGGAGCACCAGCAACAGCAGGAGTGAAGGGGCCCTGGGACACACAAATAAATAGACGCAGATAACAGGATGCCCCATATTTTTCCATATTTCCCGGGTTTTTGTTATCCCCCCCCACTTCCCATATTCTCCCATATTTCCTGGGGAATCGACGATCCATTGTGTCTGTATATGTTTTTCCCCCTCTTGAGGGAGGGAGGGAGGGGCGCCTGCGCCATGGACGTGATGCGCCCCTGGGCCGCCTCCGGCAGGGAGCCCGGGTTCGTGGCCAGCAGCCGCGCGAGCGCGGCGCGGACCTCGCAGATGACCTGGGGACCGGCCGCGCCTCCCGGCCCACTCCTGCTTCTGCTGCGCGCAAGGAGGAGGAGGAGGAGGAGGAGGAGGAGGAGGAGGAGGGAGGAGGAGGAGGGAGGAGGAGGAGGAGGAGGAGGAGGAAGGAGGAGGAGGAGGAGGAGACGAGCGTACAGGGGACGTCCTGTCCTGATTGAATAATCTACTGAGATCCGCCACTCATGATGCGAGCAGAACAGGAGGAGGAGGAGGAGGAGGAGGAGGAGGAGGAGGGTGGCCCCAGGCAAAAGCGGCCTTGGGCGAGCGGCTTCGGTGGGGGCGCGGGGGCGCCAAGCCCAGGCGCGTAAGCCTCTGCGGCCGCATCGCGTTTAGCGGTCAGGGGACCCCGGTGGGCCAGCACCAAAGATCACTTCGGCGAAGGATCACTCTCGTGACGTGTAGTCGACTGCTGGAGGGAGGTGGAGCATTCCAAGTGGCGGGAGGCATGAGCCAATCCCCCACCGCGAGCTAGTCTCGGATAAGGAAGGGATGCTGTAGTGAAAGAGAGCGGCCTCGGCGCCACGAGACCAGGATGTGAAGCGAGCGAGTGGCACTCGGCAACCAGCGGTCGTGAAGAATCACGACGGCCGCTTGAGCCCCACTGCGGGTCCTGGGGCCCTCACGGATCGGTACCGCTCGGAGAGCGCCTCACAAAGATGGGGTCGTGAGCTCTGGCCATGATCTTCCATGACGCTATGTTTCTTTCACGGCGCTGGATCTCGAGGGAGGCGGCGGCCAACGAGCCGCCTGAACAGATCGTGACCAGGCCCAGCCGATCTCGGCCGGCTGGAGAGCGGCCCGCGCAGGCAACAGGGGAGGAGGAGAGGGTCCACAATCCGAGCTGGGATGCCTGGCCGAGGCCGAACAAGAGGCAGCCAGACGGAAGGACGAGGCGGAGGAGGCCAAGGGCAAAGGGCAGCGGAGGAGGCCAAGGGCAAAGGGCGGAGGGAGGAGGAGGAGGAGGAGGAGGAGGTGGAGGATGAGGAGAAGGAGGAGGAGGACAATGAGGAGGAGGAGAGGAGGAGGAGGAGAGAGAAGGTGGAGAAGGAAGATGAGGAGGACAATGATGAGAAAGAAGGAAGGACGAGGCGGAGGAGGCCAAGGGCAAAGGGCAGCACCGCGCCGGGGAAGTCCCCAGAGCGCGGCCGGAGGGCCCGCGGCGGGCGCCGCGCCCCCGCCCTGTGCAGAAAGACACCCTGAAACAGCACGGGGGCACACCCCCGGGAGGCCCCCAGAGGGGGCCCCTGAGGGGCCGCAGAGGCCCTGAGGCGTAGGAGGAGTGGGGAGGAGGAGGAGGAGGAGGAGGAGGAGGAGGAGGAGGAGGAGGGTAAGGGTAAGGGTAAGGGTGCATGCGCCGAAGCGCGGCCGACAGGCCGACGGACGACCCGAAAGGAGGAGGAGGAGGAAGCCGGTCCCCCGCATGGGGCCGCCGGTCGCAGGCAGAAGCAGGAGCAGGAGCAGGAGCAGGAGTGGGAGCAGGAGCAGGAGCAGGAGCAGGAGCAGGCAGCAGCAGCAGCAGCAGCAGCAGGAGGAGGAGGAGGAAGAGGAGGAGGGAGGGCAACCCGCTGCAGCGTCTGTGCCCTAGGACCCTCGGGATCGCTGCGTGCAGCTCTAACAACCAGAACAGCCAAAGTGGGGGAGGAAGGGTGCAGGTGGATAGTCGGCTTCCCCCCATGGAGGGAGGCGATGACGAGCGAGCGAGCGCGTGAATCCGATTTGGGGCAGGGCCGCATGGGCGGGCGCAGGTGGACCGCGGCCCTGAGATGCCGATGTCGGTGTCGCTGGTCAATGAAGAATGCCGTACGCGCTCTGTGGGGATGCTGATTCCAGGCTGTGACATCTCACACTGTCGTGGACAGTCGCGCGAGACCGATCGAATGAAAACTGAATCGCCAAGAGCAGTGACGACGAGAGCGAGGGAGAGGGCGGAAAACGAGGACGACGACGTCTACGACGGCACTGGCTCCTCGTCTGCCAATCGGCGGAGGCAAAAGGGGTGGATAGCCCAGGGGCGTGCCCAGGCGCCTCTCCGTCCCTTCTCCTCCCTTCCGCCGTGACCCCTCCCCCCAAAACCCCCCGCGGTCTTGCAGCCCACGCGGTGTCCACAGCTGCTGGATCGAGGCCGCTCAGCCGAGCCGTCGCTGAAAGGAGGCGCCACCGCACTCCAGCATCGCACCACCCCTCTTCGACTGCAAATATTGCCCCCTCCCTTCTCGCCCCCTTCCCCCCTCCCACTTAAGTGCTCTTGAAAAGCTTCTGCGCCCGCTGCGCCACCGTCTCCGTGCCGTCGCCGGCTCCGCTCCAACGGGATGGGAGGTTACTTGGGCCCGCTCGGACGTCGAATGATATCGAACAAGAGCCACTCTGAAGGCCGACAAGTCTCCACTTCCTCTTCCTCCTCCTTCTCCTCCTCCTCCTCCTCCTCCTCCACCTCCTCCTCCTCCTCCTCCTCCTCCTCCTCCTCCTCCTCCTCATCATCATCATCATCATCATCATCATCATCATCATCATCATCATCATCATCATCATCATCATCATCATCATCATCATCATCATCATCATCATCATCATCATCATCATCATCATCATCATCATCATCATCATCATCATCATCAGCATCAGCATCAGCATCAGCATCATCATCAGCATCAGCAGCATCAGCAACATCATCCTCATGATCAGCATCAGCATCAGCATCAGCATCAGCATTATCATCAGCATCAACATGATCAGTATCATCATCAGCATGATCAGCATCATCATCGTCGTCAGCAGCAGCATCCTGATCATCATCAGCATCAGCATCATCAGCAGCAGCATCAGCATCATCATCAGCAGCATCATCATTACTATCATCATCATAACCATCGTCATCATCATCATGAGCATCAGCATCATCATCGTCATCATCACTACCATCATCATCATCGTCATCGTCATCGTCATCGCCATCGCCATCATCATCAGCAGCGCCATCATCATCGTCGTAAGTATCATCGTCATCCTCATCATTACCATAACCATCATTATCACCACATGAATCCTCATCCTCATCCTAATCATCATCAGCAGCAGCGGCACCATCATCATCATCAGCAGCAGCACCACCAGCATCATCATAATCAGCATCAACATCATCAACATCAACAACATCAACAACATCAACAACATCGTCATCACCACCACCGTCATCATCAGCAGCATCATCGTCATCATCAGCAGCATCATCAGCATTATCCGTATCATCATTATCAACAGCATCAGCACCCACATCATTATCATCACCAGCAGCAGCAGCATCATTATCATCGAGGGTGCGCCGCTGGATCTCCCCAAGGGGGGGGGACCCCCACCCCCCCCCTTCCCCGATCCGTCGTCGGGGACCCCCCCCTCCCCTCCCCCCCTTCCCCGATCCGTCGTCGGGGAGCCCCCCCCCTCCCCCCCTTTCCCCGATCCGTCGTCGGGGACCCCCCCCCGCCCTTCCCCCCCTTTCAAAAGGGGGAGGGGGTCCGAACCCCCCCCCCCTCCCCCCCTCTGGCCGCACCCCGCCCCCCCCTTTCGCCACGCCGCCCCCTGACTCCGGAACCCGACCTCCGCCACCCCTACCCCTAGTCCTCACCCTGACCCAAACCCCTAACCCTAACCCCAACCACTAACGCCAGCTCCAAAGAGTACCCACTACTCATTACTCACAACCCACTACTGACTACTCGCTATTCGCTACTCACTTCTCACTACCCTCTACTCACTACTCACGACTCACTACTCACTATCCATTACTCACAACCCACCACCCACTACTCGCTACTCACTACTCCCTACTCACCACTCCCTCCTCCCTACTCACTACTCACTACTCACTCCTCACTACCCACTAGTCAGTACTCACTACTCACTACTCCCTACTCACTACTCACTAATCACTACTCATTACCCACTACCCACTATCCACTACTCACTACCCACTACTCATTGCCCACACATCACCACTCACTACCCACTACTCGCTACTCGATACTCCCTACTTCCTAGACAATACTGACTACACAGTACTCAGTACTCACTACTCGCTACTCCCGTACTCCCTACTCAATACTCACTACTCAGTCCCCGCTACTCACAACTCACTACTCATTACTCCCTACTCACTAGTCACTACATAGTCTCTAGTCGTTAGTCACAGGTCACCAGTCACTAGTCACTACTCACTACCCACTACTCACTACTCACTACTCACTAATCGCTACGCGCTACCCACTATTCGCTACCCATTTCTTAATACTCACTGGTCACTACTTCCTACTCCCTACTCCCTACTCACTTCTCACTACTCACTACTCACTACTCGCTACTCCCTAGTCGTTACTCACTACTCACTACCCACTACTCACTACTGACTACTCTCTACTCACTACTCACTACTCACTACACCCTACTCGCTCCTCACTACTCACTACTCGCTACTCCCTACTCGCTACTCATTACACACGACCCACTGCCACTACCCACTACTCTCTATGCATCACTACTCACTACTCACTACGCACTACGTACTACTCAGTACTCACTACTCACTACTCACTACTCACTACGCAATACTCACTACTCACTACTCACTACTCACTACTCACTGCGCACTACGCACTACCCACTACTCACTACTCACTAAGCACTACTCGCCACCCACTACACGTACCCACTACCCACTACACACTACCCACTACTCATGACTCCCTACTCCCTACTCAGTACTCACTACTCACTACTCGCTACTCACTACTCACTAGTCACAACTCTTCACCCACTACTCACTTATCAGTACACACTACTCACTATTCACTACTCACTACTCCCCACTCCCTACTCCCTACTCCCTACTCGCCACCCACTACCCACTACTCACTACCCAATAATCACTACTCACTACGCAGTAACTCACTACTCACAACTCCCTACTCTCAACTCCGCACTCCCTACACACCTTCTCTGGCGCAGAAAGGAGAAGCGAGAGAGGCCCCCCCTCCCTGGCTCCCTTTCCGGCTCAAAGGGAGGGAGGGGGGGGGTCCGAACCCCCCCCCCCTTTCCAGCGCCAAGGGGGGGAGGGGGGGGGGTCCGGACCCCGCCCCCCCCTTCAAGGGGGGGAGGGGGGGGGGTTCTGGACCCCCCCCTCCATCCTTTAGTGTATTCAGGGAGATCCAGTGGCGCATTTTCATCATCAGCAGCCTCCGAGTCAGCACCATCCTCAGCATAAGCATCAGCATCAGCATCCTTATCATCATCATCAGCAGCAGCATCATCACCACCACCACCACCCTGCTGCTCCTCCTCCTCCTCCGCCTCCTCCTCCTCCTTGCCCATCCGCGTCCTCTTTCTCCTCCCGCTACCGCCGCTTCTCACCCCTCACCATTCGTCCTCCTCTCCTCCTCTCCGAACCCACCCGCCCACGTACCCAGCCACCCACCCACCCCTGCCCCTAACTCACATGCTCCTCTAGCAGCGGCGGCGCGCACGCCGGGACCCTCTCTGCGATCGGTGAGGCCACAAGCGGGCATGCACGAGCGACCACTCGCCACCTCGCTCCCGCTGCGGGGAGGTGGAGGAGGAGCCGGGAGGAGGGGGAGGGGGAGGGAGGAAGGGGTGGGGAAGAGGTGAGGACGAGCTATTCTGCAGTTGTCCTACAGTTGTCGGATGCATTCGGAGGTCCTCATAGGTCTCCAACAAAGTTTGCGAGGGGGGCTGGTGATAAGAAGGGCAGGGAGGATGGAGGAGGGGGGAGCGAGGAGGAGAGGGAGAGGGAGAGGGAGAATGAGAAGGATGAAGAGGAGGACGAGGAGCAGAAACAGTGGCCGCAGCAAGGAAACCAAGAGGAGGAGGAGGAGGAGGAGGAGGAGGAGGAGGAGGAGGAGGAGGAGGAGGAGGAGGAGGAGGGGGGGGTGAAGGAGAGAGAGTAGGGAGATAAGGGAGAGAAGGAGAGGAGGAACGCTGCGCTTGGGAGTGGGCATGGGGGGGGGGCACGGGGAGCCAGGGAGGGGCCACAATCGAGGAACCCTCCTCATCAAGCTAAGACGACGGGTAATTGGCATGCCCATCCCGCACTCTGGTGCGTTGGTCGTCCTCTCCCCCTCTCCCATGCCCCGCCGCTCTGCCTCCACACACGGTGTCAAAAATAGTACCGCGTTCCGGGTACCGCTTTCGGTGGAGCTCCTGATGAGGCCACGACACGCGTCAGGGGTGTGCCGTAATGGGTGGGGGGGACGCATGCGGCCGCGGCCACGGGGGTCTTCGGTGGCGCTCCTTTTGGAGCCACGAAACGGTGTACTGGGCGGGGGAGCCGTATGCGGCCGCGGCCACTGGGGCCACGAAACGCCGCAGTGGGTGGGGAAACCGCATGCGAACATCGCTTCTGACAAATTCGGTAGAGCTCCATTGGGACCACGAAGCGTGTGAGGGGGATGCCGACATGGGCGGCGGGGGCGCATGCGAACGTCGCCTTGGGGACCTGGACCTTCAGTGAAGATCCCCATGGGGCCACGAAACGGCGCACTGGGCAAGGGAGCCGCATGCGAACGCCGCCTTTTGGGCCTTAAGTGGAGTTCCATATGGGGCCACGAAACGTATGAGGGGTGGGGAAACCGCATGCGAACGTCGGCCCTGGAGCCTTCGGCGGAGCTCCGTATGGGGCCGCGAAACGCTGTATTGGGAGGGGGGACCACATGCGAACGTAGTTTGGGCGGCCTTCGGTGGAGATCCATATAGGGACACCATATAGGGACACGAAACGTTATAGTGGGTGGGGGAACCGCATGCGGATGTCGCCGCTGGGGCCGTCGGTGGAGCTCCCTCAGGGGCCACGAAACGTGTAAGGGGTGTGCCGCAATGTGTGGCGATTCGAACGCCGCCTCTGGGGCATTCGGTGGAGCTCCCGATGGGGGCCACGAAACGCTGTATTGGGCGGGGGGGCCGCAAGCAAACGTCACCTCTGGAGCCGTCCGTGGAGCCCCCTTTTTCATTGGGCAACGAAACGTGTGAGAGGGGGAGAAACCGCATGCGAACGTCGCCTCTGGGGCCTTCGGTGGAGCTCCCCATGGGGCCACGAAACGCTGTACTGGGCGGAAGAACCACATGCGAACGTCGCCTCTGGGGCCTTCAATAAAGCTCCCCGTGGGACCACAAACTGCTGCACTAGGTATGCCGAAGTGGTTGACATGCGAAGGACATTGGGAGGAAGGAGTAGCGGGAAGAGGAAGGAGGAGCGCAGGGCACTCCCTCTTCAAAAAAGAGAACCCAGCACCACAGGATGCCTGGAAAAAAGCAATGCCCATGAATACGTCCCTCCCACTTTTCCCCGTCCAAGGTGGAGAAGAGGTACAGAACAGACAGAAAGGCAGGGTATGCCTGTAATGTCTCATGATAGGCCCCGAGGCCCCACACCAGCAGCACCGTGAAACACTTCACCAACCAGAACTGCAGAAAAACAGCGGCTGCTGCTTGCCAGCAGCGGCATTCCTGCGCCTGTTCGAAGCAATCGACTGCCCGTACGGAGATTGAGGGAGCCACGAGATTGATCAGTTCTGCCGTGCCATGCTGTGTAGCGTGATACGCGTGTAAGGTTTTCCGCTGATATTCCTGAGCCACGGCGGCCCCATACGCAACACGTAATCCGTAGCGCGTTAGCAAGCAGGCCAGCGCGTAGACTGAGAACGTACATTTGGCGCAACACGTTCGCCAAAACGCGGGCCAACATGTTAAGCCAACACGCAGCGTGTTCACATTTTGATCACGGGACGCATTGCCCTTCAGCACGGGTGTATCGGGGCAGCGAAGTTCCTGGACTTCGTCACGACGCTCGCGCTCGTCATGCCAACACCAACCTATGTGCCTTACCCTCCTACTCATTCTCCTCCTCCGACTCCTCCGCCTCCTGCTCATCCTCCTCTTCCGACGCCTCCGCCTCCTCCTCCTCCTCCTCCTCCTCCTCCTCCTCCTCCTCCTCCTCGTCTTATTATTAATCATTCCCTACCTAGGTTCTGCCTAGAAGGGTTCGTACTCTGTTAGCTTAAAGGGGCCGGGCAGTGCTACACGCCCCTGGCGGTTCCCCCAGTCCCCGCCCCGCGGTTCCCCCCAGTCCCCTGGGAGCTTTAGCTTTAGCTTTAGCTTTAGCTTCAGCTTAGCTATAGCTTAGCTTTAGCTTAGCTGTAGCTTAGCTTTAGCTTAGCGTTTCGCGTAGCTTTTCGCTTAGCGTTTAGCTTAGCTTTAGCTTAGCTTTAGCTTAGCTTTAGCTCAGCTTGAGCTGAGCTGTAGCTTAGCTTTAGCTTAGCTTTAGCTTAGCTTTAGCTTAGCTTTAGCTTAGCTTTAGCTGTAGCTTAGCTTTAGCTTAGATTTAGCTTAGCTTTAGCTTAGATTTAGCTTAGCTTTAGCTTAGCTGTGACTTAGCTTTAGCTTAGCTTTAGCTTAGCTGTAGTTTAGCTTTAGCTTAGCGTTACTGTTACTACTAATGCTGCTTTCCTAGGGGTTCCAACTACTAGGTAGGGTCGCACTGGGATAATCGTTGTTTGTTTTAGTTGTCTTCTTCTGACTATGTCTCTTCCTCCTCCTCCTCCTCTTCCTCCTCCTCCTCCTCCTCCTCCTCCTCCTCCCCCTCCTCCTCCTCATCCTCCTCATCATCCTCCTCATCCTCCTCCTCCTCCTCCGCCTCCTCCTCCTCCTCGTCGTCCTCCTTCTCCTCCGCCTCCGCCTCCGCCTCCGCCTTTGCTTCCGTCGCGTCCGCCTCCGCCCCCTCCGCCTGCTCTTCCTCCTCCCCCCCTCCTCCTCCGCCTCCTCATCATCCTCCTCCTCATCCTCCTCCTGCTCCTCATCCTCCTCCTCCTCCTCCTCCTCGTCCTCATCCTCCTCCTCATCCTCCTCCTCCTCCTCCTCCTCCTCCTCCTCCTCCTCCTCCTCCTCCTGCCCCCGGAGGGGTGCCTCGGTGTGTGGGCGGCACATCGGCGCCCTGGGGGAACTAAAACCCGTTCAGTCGTCCTTCGGGGCGCCGCGGCGGGTATGGTCGGGTCCTGGGGCGTCGGGCTGTCCCGCTTGGCCGCTCGGGCCAGGGGGGGCAGCGTGACCCTCAGGGCACGGCCTCACCTGCCGCGAAAAAACACCCACTGGCGGGGGGTGGTGGGTGCTGTTCGCTAAACGCCGCCTCCTCCTCCGCCTCCTCCTCCTCCTCCTCCTCCTTCTCCTCATCCTCCTCCTCTTCCTCCTCCTCCTCCTTCTTCTTTTTCTTCTTCCTCCTCCTCCTCCTCCTCCTCCTCCTCCCCTCCTCCTCCTCCTCCTCCTCCTCCTTCCTCCCCTCCTCCTCTCCTCCTCCTCCTTTTTCCTCCTCCTCTTCCTCCTCCTCCTCCTCCTCCCCTCCTCCTCCTCCTCCTCCTCCTCCTCCTCCTCCTCCTCCTCCTCCTCCTCGTCCTCCTCCTGCCCCCGGAGGGGTGCCTCGGTGCGTGGGCGGCACATCTGCGCCCTGGGGGAACTAAAACCCGCTCAGTCGTCCTTCGGGGCGCCGCGGCGGGTATGGTCGGGTCCTGGGGCGTCGGGCTGTCCCGCTTGGCCGCTCGGGCCAGGGGGGGCAGCGTGACCCTCAGGGCACGGCCTCACCTGCCGCGAAAAAACACCCACTGGCGGGGGGTGGTGGGTGCTGTTCGCTAAACGCCGCCTCCTCCTCCGCCTCCTCCTCCTCCTCCTCCTCCTCGTCCTCGTCCTCCTCCTCCTCCCTCCTCCTCCTCCTCCTCCTCCTCCTCCTCCTCCTCCTCCTCCTCCCCCTCCTCCTTTTTCCTCCTTGTTCCTCCTCCTCCTCCTCCTCCTTCTCATCCTCCTCCTCCTTCTCCTACTCCTCCTCCTTCTCCTCTTTCGGTGAGGACGGACAGCCCGGCGACCACATCGCGCGGCCAGCCCCGCGAGGCCCCCGCGGCGGCCAGACGCTCGTCGGGGCGGCTGGCGCCCGTCAGGGCGCCGACCGCAAGGGTAAAAACGTGCCAGGTGCGCGTCCGCCGTGCGCGTGTTATCGCGTGCTAGAAACGGCTCCACGTTGGAGCGACCCTAGGCAAGAGTGGCATTTGGTGCACAACTCTGGGGGGCGCGAAGAGGCAAACCCAAGCGCGCAGGCCGCTGCCGCTGCTATCGCATCGCGTTCAGCGATCGGTGGCCCTCTTGGGTCAGCAACGAAGGTCACTCTAGCGAAGGGTCCCTCTTACGTGCAATCGAAAGAAGTCCGACGACCAATCTGACGCACCCATTTTTGCACCCCTCCAGTCTAAAGGCAAAAGGCCTGACAGCACAAAGATGGGGGAAAAGACGTGCCAGGTGCACGCGAGAGCAAAGGATGCGTCAAAAGAAATAGTTCCCCCTGGCATGCAGATTGACCGTTGAATCACACGCCAGACGCATGTTGGACACCCCCGTGGCGCTTACACAACAAGGAAGCACGTGCCACATGCTCACATCCCGAACCCATGTTCGACACCCCCCCTCCACGCACATACAATTACATGTGAAGAACGCCAGCCGCAGGTTCGACACCCCGCTTAGCGCCTGCACACGTGAAAACGCGTGCCATACGCTCGCCGAGGCGAATGCTGGATACCCCCCTTTGGCGCAGAACCCCCCCCGCCTCGCGCACATATTAATACGAGTGAGAAATTCGACGACCAATCCGACGCACCCTGCTTTACACCCTAAGGCTCGACATCACAAATAGACACCCTGGGCCAGAGCCTTTACCAGGACAAGAAAAGCTTGCTATCCCCATGTTAGTACCAGTTGTTTGTAAATCCTACGAGCGACCACGACATCGAGGTCGACGATACTCGATTCAAGCGTTCGCTAGCCCAGCGGTTTTCGCTGCCGCTGTGCATCAGCACGGCCAGGAGGGGTCACCAGGTCCTCCTGAGGATCGAGGTTCCAGGATCGGAGTTCGGGGAGTTCTTTGGACGTTTGGGGCCGTTTGGGGGGAACCCCGGAGTGTTCTGGGAGCCCCATTTCCCCTCGGGGGAACCGGAAGTATTTGAGAAAGCGTGCATTCTGAGCCTCACGGATGCGAAGATGTGAGGGGAGAGCTGCCTGGTCGCTTATCCGCACTGGTGCTGCCCTAGCCTCAATGCCCCACTCAAACGCTAAGAATTATGTTTAACCAGCTCTGCCTTGTTTATAATCGACCCGACAGGATATCATGACTGGCATGACGCCCGAGCGCATTGCATCTGCTTTGCATCCAACATCATCTGCTGTTCTGCCAAATGCGTTAAGGTGGACTCTCGAATCTAAGATAACTGTTGAATAGAAGACCTCACCGATACCGCCAGGACTGCAAGATATGAGCCAGATTCTGGGATGTGCATTTCGTCCTGCCTGCTGGCAGACACATGCCGCACTTGAACAATGCGTTTTCAGAATTGGATACAGGAAAGGAGAGGGAGAGGCTGTGGGCTGCGCACCACGAAATCACGTCGCATCATCGCACGGGGCACGCAGGCAGCATATCTGGCAGCCCGAGCCAGCGAGACCACCCAGGCAACGCGAGTTGCCACATCGCATCAAGTACGCAGTGCGAGTTCAGGAACCAATAGCTAGATTGGCATGGGCAACCCGTACCGGCAGATATTGCAGGTCCGACGCAGTGGTGCCAGACAAGACGTCAGCTAGAGATCCCCTTCTCCCGCTTATCATCCTAGGCCTCCTCCTCCTCCTCCTCCTCATCATCATCATCATCCTCATCCTCCTCCCCCTCTTCCTGCTTCTCCTTTCTCCTCGTCCTCCTCCTCCTTCTCCTCCTCCTCCTCCTCCTCCTCCTCCTCATCCTCCCCCTCCTCCTCCTCCCTCCCCCTCCTCCTCTCTCGCTCATCACTCCTCATTTCCCCACCGACCCACCCACCCACCCACACACCCCCCCCCACCGACACCCACACCCACACACATATACACACACACCTCCTCCTCCTCCTCTCCTCCTCCGCCTCTCCTCCTCCTCCTCCTCCTCCTCCTCCTCCTCCTCCTCCTCCTCCTCCTCCTCCTCCTCCTCTTCCTCCCCCTCCTTCTCCCCCTCCTCCTCCACCCCCTCTGACCTAGCCAGGAAGGGGCTTTCACCGATCCTGGGCAGAGGATTCGCCTGGCCAGGATCGGTGCACGCAGGTGCCTAGTTGGCATCCCCAAACCTGGGCTTATATGCTGTCGACACCCCGTCCTGCCGTCGCCCTGTGCCCATCCACTTGCCACCTTGCGTACATTCTCTGTGGCTTCCTCAAGCGACTCGTGGGGCGCATGTTGACCACATTGAGGGCATGCTCCAGGAAGCTACCCAGCCCTCCAACCAGGGCTCAAGCGCCGCAACACCAGCCAGGTGCACTCCGATCTGCTCGTCGCCCAGCGAGCGCCACTGGCTGACCGTGCGCAGGTGGCTGTCGTGCAAAACCTCCGACAAGGAGGCGGGGGCCTTTTCCTCCGCCTCCTTCTCCTGCCACTCCTCATCTCTCTCCAGCCCTCTTCCTTATGAGCAACTCCTCCTCGCCGCACTACCAAAAGTGTCGGTAGTGCGGGCCAGCCGTTTCGCCTGAAACTTCCTCGCAGCTTGCAAGTATGAAACTCCTGAACATTCCAAACTGTACACAGATGGAAGGCGGCTGGCTTTCAAAAGGTGGCTCTCGCTTTAGCGCCGCGTGCATTCGTCTTACAGGCTCCCAGCAGTCTCTCGCGCGTAGCGCAAAAGTGGCTTACCCTTACCAGGGCCTGCCCTCGCGCTGGGCACATCCCGCAGGAGAAATACCTGGCCGCTGGTAACAATGCTCCATACCTGCCCACCAAAGAACCAGCAGTACTACAGCGTATCCAAACTGGTCCTACCCGCTTGAGGGCCGCGGGGCTCGCAATACGAAGGCGAGCCCCCACCCACCAAACGGTCATCTGTGCGCTGACGAGCGGTCCGCCCATGTGACCGGGAAACCCTGAACCCTAAAATGTTGACGGCTCGCTTTTACTTCCGCGCCTTCCGCGGACCGTCCTCCAGCTCCCGCCGACCCAATAATGATTTCAGACGTGTGCTCGCATGTTTTGGCGGCCTCACCTACGGCACAGGCTACCGCCCGTTGGGGGACTGCTGAGTCTCCACCTGCCGCGACCTGAACTGCTTTGCGGCGGCATTCCTCCGCTTCTCTGTCCTGGGGAAAACGACGGAGAGGGGGGGGGATCGGATCGGCTCGGCCAGCGGGCACACTGCAGCAACGGCGCCGTCCGGGGATCCCCCGCGGGAGCCGCTGGTGTGGAGGAAGGTGGGTGAAGGGGACCTCTCCGTCCTCTTCCTCCTCCTCCTCCTCAACTCCTCCTCCTCCTCCTGGGGAGGCGAGTAAGGAGGCCCTCTCCTCGCCCTCCCCCGACCCCAGCCGCTGACATGTGCGCACTCCCCTCCTAGCCCACCAGCGCGCGGCTGCACGACGCCTCGGGAAACGGTCCGCAGGCAGGGAGCCAGCGAGGAAGCAGGAGGAAGGAAAATGAGGAGCCAGAAGGAGGAGGGAGGAGGAGGATGAAGGAGGAGGAGGAGGAGGAGGAGGAGGAGGAGGGGGTGGGCGGAGGGGAAGAAAAAGAGAGCATGACCAAGACTGAACGCGGACCGTTGATCTTGGCCAGCCCAAGCTCGTGGATAATCCTGGCGAAGGGGCGACGACCGACATGGACCGTGACCAAGATCGACGTCGACATCGAGTCCCACGGATTGACCCCGCAGGGCATGGACGGACGTGCCACCACGCGTCGGGAGCGCCTGGCGCCACGCGGCGTTCACCTCCGTGAACCCCAGGGCCGATCTGCACCGGGCCGCGCAGCGCCTCATACCGCAGAGCGCTCCGAGCCATGGCGGCCGCGCCGCAGGCCAAAAGAGCGCCTGAAGCTGAGACTGTGCCGGGCGCGTGCAGAAGACTGCACCGCGGGAGGGCGCACGTCGGCAGCGTCAGAGCACGGCGAGTGGAAGCCTGCGTGGACGAGCTCGAGATTGGCGACTGTGGGAATCTGAACCAATCGCCCTTTCCCGCTCCGGCAGTAGGACTCGCAGAAAGAATGGCGCCGTCATGGCACGAGCGTGGAATGCACAGACTCTGAAGAAGCGCAAAAAGAGCCAGAGAATGCAGACGATGAAAGTAAAGAAAGAATCCACTCGCACAGACCGTTCTCTGTAGCCGAATCTGACTCTGACCGTCATGATGAAGACTATACTTACAGACGCTTGCTGGCACGTCACTATCCCAATCTCCAGGAGAAGCATATTTGATTTTTCCCAGGTAGGCATTGCCTAAGTGGTTCTTCACTGGTTTTGAAGAACCCGTGGGTGCCGGGCCTGCATCGCGAGCCCTTCCTCGAGTTGCCCGGTCTTGCTTCCCTACTGCATTCCTCAGGTTGTTTGTTCTTGGTATCCAAATAGCGTTTGCACTTAAGAGGTTATTACTTCTCTTCTAAGAATCTGGGCCTGTCTTTCGGGCTGGCGGCTATCTTGCCGCCATCGCCGCCTCGTCGCCACCAGTAACTGGGCCTGTGAATCGGTCTGGCGGCTATGTTGCCGCCGTCGCCGCCCCGTCGCCGCCGCCTCGTCGCCACCCGTAACTGGGTCTGTCTATCGGTCTGGCGGCTATGTTGTCGCCGTCGCCGCCCCGTCGCCGCCGTCGCCATTCGTCGCCGCCGTAAGATTGCACAACGTAGATTGCACAACATGGATTGCACCACAGCTACTGCATCACAGATACCCCGTCACATCTGTTAGCCAACGTGGACCCCAAACAGTATGTTTCTGGCATGGCAATAGAGAGAGGGAAAGAGAGAGAGAGAGATACTGATAGAGAGAGAGAGAAGACTGCATTGGCCTTTCGCGCCATGCACCTTGGTCCTTGAAATTGGCACGCAGGCGGAATGGCAGTAAGGTCAAGCCGACAATTTAGCGATAATTTCCTCTTGTCATTTCTGGCATCGCCGCTGTACTGATGTGATTCGTTATCCTTCCTCCATGTTTATTTTCATTCTCGCCATACCCTGCGTATTCTCCCCATCCTCCTCAGCTCTTTTTGTGGAGGTCCTCCTTGCAGAGCCTCTGGGGGCCTCTCAAAAGTTTGTCATGCTTTATCAAGGCCTTCTGGAAGCTTCCTGGGCGTCGTCTGGGGCCTCTGAAGGCTTCCTCGGGCCACCCTGCTTCCAACCGCAGTCTCCCTGAACGACCGGCTCACGGTTTGGAATGCTTCGGAAGGTGTCTTGCGGTCATCTTGGGCCGTCATGGGGTTCTCTTACGCCATCTTGGAACCCTGTTGTGCCGTCTTGGGGCTCTTTTGGACTGCCTGGACGCCCTTTCGGATGGTTGTGGGGCGATTCTCGAGCCTCCCAGGCGGCTTCGGACGCCCAGAAGACCGCCGTCTCGAAGCGTCGGGAAGCCGAAAAGAAGAGAACCCCAAAATTCACCAAGACGCACCAGAAAATCAATGAATTATGCCTTCTGGTGCCTTCTTGGGCCGTTTTGGAACGATCTTTGGGGGTATGACGGCCTCTTTGGGGTCGTCGTGGACCGTTTTGAAGCTCTCTGGGGTCCTTTCCGAAGCGCGCCAGAACGCCTGGAGCCCTCTGGGGCCGTTTTCGGGCTCTCGTGGGATCCTCCCGGATCGTGTGGAGGGTTGCCCGAGAGGCCCCGGGAGCGCCCAATTCGCTCGGGGGGGAGGCGTTGTTTTTCCGGGGGCAGGGGGGGTGCGTTTTTCCAGGGTCCCCGGCCATTTAGAAATCTGTATATATACACACACAAACAGACATACATACATACATACATACATACATACATACATACGTACGTACGTACGTACATACATACGTACATACACACCTACACACATACATACAGACATGCATATATACATATACATATATATATATACAAGCACACACAAACCCACACATATATCTATATATATATATATATATACATACATACATACATGCATACATACACACATACACACATACATACATGCATATATATACATATACATATATATACACAAGCACACAAACCCATATATATATATATATATATATATATATATATATATATATATGTATACATGCATACTTAAGCATAAACATAAACATAAACATAATCATAACCATAAACATATACATATACATGGACATGGACATAGACATATACATCTGCAATACATATACAAATACATATACATAAACATATACATAGACATATACATATACACATACATATACATATACATATACATATACATATACATGCAAATACAAATATACATGTACATGTTTACGTATACGTCTATACATACATGTACGTATACATATACATATACATATACATATACATATACATATACAAGTATATGTATAAATATATACATGTACATATACATTTACATACACATATACATATACACATACATATACCTATACATATACATACACATACACATACACATACACATACACATACACAAACATATACATATACATATACATATGCATATACATATACATTTACACTCACGATGAAAATACTATACATATACATATACACATACAAATACATACGCATAATCATACATAGATACGCATGTATATATACATATACATATACGTATACATAGACATATACCTATACGTATACATATACAAATACTTATGCATACATACATATGCATATACATACACATGCATATCAATAGTTACATGTATGAATATATGACTGCAAATGTGGATGTACGTGTTTCCGTATACGTATACGTATATGGATACGTAAATACAAATGCATTATGTATACGTATGCATACGTATGAATTCACATATATGTGCATGTATATGTATGTGTGAATGTATACGTATATAAATGTAAATACATATAGATATGCCTACGTATGTGTATATGTATATGCGTGTGTGTAAGTATATGCGGATGTGCTTGTATGTGAAAAATGTATGTGCGCATGCGTACGTACGTGTGAATGATGATGTCTATGTATATTTTACGTATGTGTATATGTATATGCACAGTTAAATGCATCCGAATATGACCACGTAGGTTGACGATCCAAAAGTCGAACCTAAAGGGATTACCGTATGCAAAGGAAAGCGAGGGAGAGGGTAGCGATCACTTTTTCCTATGCGCCGCGGGCAGGCGGCGCTGCACCTGTTGCCAGTACTTGAGCCGACACGGCAGCAGTAGATATGGATATAATCACGATATGAGCGGACTTCACGCACATACACACGCATACGCCGCCCCGAATCCCGCCCACCCCACGCGGATTTCGGACCCACGGGAGACAGAGGCGGGGCCCGGGATCAAAGGTGCGAGGCCCACTCGACACATCATGACATCCCCTGCAACGTCCAAACGACCACGTCACACAAGATACTTGGGACAGCCCGCCGCCTTCAGCGGGCCCAGGGCGCGCCCCCCCCCCCAAAAAAAAAAAAAACGGCGCGCCCGGGCGGCCCCCCCCCTTTCCACGGATGACGAAGTTGGGAGAACAAAAGATAGAAGAAGTGGACAACAATGCCGCGTCAAAGATACAGACACGGGCGCGTCAAACGGCGCGCAATACGTCGCGCGCAAAATCAACCCGCGCGATGCATAGCAACCTACAAATCAGATCCCATAAGTAGTGCGATCGAAGATGCGACGGCAACCGATCATAGCATGCCACAAGACTTGTCATTCACCTGGCGCTCCAGGCCCCCAAAAGAGATAGTAAGTGCAACCGAAGCTGTTACGACAACTGGTCAAAGTAAGAATATTACAATGTCAATTGCGAGGCATTCCAGGCCCCAGAAATATGCGAAGCAAGTCCAAGCTAGTTCGAGGGATAACGTCACCCAAATGATTCATAGGGATTCCGCTTGGCACAGGTCGCGCTCTGTGTTTCCGACATCCCATGGAAAGAACATGAAATTGTGGTCCGATGATATTTGCGACGGGCGACCTGCCTGGGCGCGTCAACGTCCTCGATGTCGCCGAAAGTGTCACGTTTGATTGGCGGGCGACCTGCCGGGGTGCGTCTACGCCCACAATGCCAAGAGATAGGTAACGATATGCTGCCATATGGAAGTCGAAATGGCTGTAGGTAACGAATAAAACGTCGCTCAAACGCAGCCGCTCCGGGGGCGCCTGACATATTCCGCCGCCAAGATGGAACGCGCAGTGATATCAGATCAACAATAAATCAATCAACGGAGCCTGTGAAATTCATAATACGCAGCACCCCAACTACGATTGCAATGGCTACTAAATTGTCCGATCATACGAGTCGCAATGTCATCGACCCAGATTTATTCACAATCACTCTCATCGATTTAGGTCCAGTTGTTCAGATAGTACGACCACGAGCGGCATGCGTTGTCGCGGTAGCGCTCGAGGACGCAGCGCCGCCGCGCCTCTGGGAGCGCCCCGCGGGCGCCGCTCCGAGCACGCTTGCCGGTCATGCGCTGCGAGCCTCGCGGCAGGCGCGGCGGCGCCATCGGCCTCCGCGCCCCCGCCGCGATCGGCGCGGCAGCCGTTGCAGCCCCGCCACTCCAGTCTGCGTCGCCACGAGCAGGGCCGCCGGAAGACGCCGCCCCCGAGGAGGAGGCAGCGCCCATGGCAGGCCCATCGCGGCGCGGCGGTGGAAGAGTGGGCGACGGGGTAGAGCGGGCGTCGGCGGCCAGAACAATCCCCTCGCCGAAGGGTTTACCCCCCGTAGCGGCCGCAGCTGCGTGATGCCTCACTCTGAGCTGCGCCAAGGTCACAAGGACCTGACCCGTCTCACCGATCTGGAGGGCCCTCACACATCCTGCAGCTGCGCTCATCGAAATTGGCAAAGAAGTCTGTGCAAGATATGTTGTGTCCGTCTGAATTTTGGATGCCCCTG